ACCTGACAGGGGAAACACACACACACACGCACACATTTCACATCACATATAAACCTACTGTATGATAGTTATATATGCAAATAAAAGATTTATGTGATTAATAATAAATGATACACTTATTGAATAATTAATCATTGATTTAATAAATTACATTAAAATACATTATTAATGTATTTAACAATAACTTCTATTAGAGTCAAGTCTGTCCAAATAATTATTTTTAAAATAAATAAAAATAAAAATTGACTGATACAACACACTGTGAAATATTAAATACTAGTAATTAATTAAATACTAGTATTAAATATAGTAAAACATTTCCATTATTTCCATCTCCAATAACAGAAATGATCTGAGATGAAACTTGAGATGAGAAGTGTCCAGGATTATAAACAAAAAAAACTAATATTTTGTATTTTATTCTTCAATCTTCCAAACATTCATAACAAATTATTATCAATAATTTCAGCCTCAAAATTTATTATTACAAAAATATCATAAATGTGTGTGTGTGTGTGTGTGTGTACAGTTGAAGTGAGAATTATTCGCCCCCTTTGATTATTTATTTGTTTTTTTTTATATTTCCCAAATGATGTTGAACAGATTCAGGAAATGTTCACAGTATGTCTGATAATATTTTTTCTTCTGGAGAAAGTCTTATTTGTTTTATTTCAGCTAGAATAAAAGCAGTTTTTAATTTTTTAAACACCATTTTAAGGTCAATATTATTAGCCCCTTTAAGCCATATTTTTTTCTAGATAGTCTCCAGAACAAACCATCATTATACAATAACTTGACTAATTACACTAACCTGCCTAGTTACCCTAATTACCCTAGTTAAGCCTTTAAATGTCACTTTAAGCTGTATAGAAGTGTCTTGAAGAATATCTAGTCTAATATTATTTACTGTCATCATGGCCAAAATGAAATAAATCAGTTATTAGAGATGAATTATTACAACTAAAACAAAGGCACAAATGAAACCATGTTTTATGGCATGTGTTAAAGGTGTTTAAATATTTTTTTTTTAAAACGAGTCGCTTAAAACAAAAGAAAACTCACCAAACATCCAGACGTCGCTGGCGGAGGTAAATCGGCGGAAGTTTATGGATTCAGGAGCCATCCATTTAATGGGCAGCTTCCCTTTAGAAGCTGGAAAACACATAAAGCTCATGACTGACACTTAAAGTTAATCCATTATGATCATAAACTTCACAAGCTATGATTGAGCTAATAGACATACAATCAGGCTAATTGGCTGATCGGGAGAATTCCCGGTGGGTCGGTCTGTTTTTTGGCCGTGAGGGCCGGTGTCCCTAGCTGCTTGCACTCTCAGCAGTCGCACTTTTTTCATTTATTTATTTATTTGACCATGGCCTCACTCTTTTTATTCATTATTTTGCCACAGCTCTGCTCTTTTTATTTATTTTCTCGCAGCCCCGTGAGCAAAATGCAGCCTGCAGATTAACGATGATGAAACCATCATGCAAAGAAATCAAATATGCCCCGCAGAGGGCGCCATTTCCTCAGTCCAGACATGTTTCTGAAGGAGGCCTGCCTGTTTGCATTAACTATAACATATAA